TAAAGAAGCTTTATCTTGTTCAAACACTCGAACCGAAAAAATTGTAATTCTGACAACGTTGTCAGTTAAATGTTCTATTCAGAAATTGACAAAAGAATTTGGTGGAAGTAGATGAATGTTCTCTGAGGCATAAAACTTACGTGTTAATCAGGAATATGAAGCTTGCTTTGTCAAGAAGAAAGGTCACGCTATGAGTGTAGAGTTAATCGAAAAATCAAGGCATTTTTCTGGTCAGATGATGTCAGTCGAGTTATGCCTGGGATAAAAAACGTTTAGTCAGTCTTTATTAAAGTTAAACGTTTGCAGGAAGTGGTAAGCTGCAATGATAAAATTATATACTTCTGTGAATAGATGTAGAAATCATTTTTTTGTCACTCCATTTGTAAAGAGCTACTGTGCGCACGCTTTGCGTTTGCAATATCGATCTTGCGATATACGTACGTAATGATGATCTCGGCTCAACTAATTATCACCCCCGAGATTATCACTTGCAGGCATTTGTGTCGGAAATAACTGTTTTTAATAATACAAAATATTTTTTTTATTAAAAACGCCTACTTTTGGGAGCCAGAACAAATTTACATGCTGATTTTGTAAATAAATACCCAGACGTGCAAATATCGTTATCATTTATAGCCTTCCGACCACAGCAATGTATTCCAGTAGAAGCGAAGAGCACACACAACGTGTGTGTGTGTATAAAATTAACAGAAATATTCGACTAAACTTAAGAGGATTCAAAGAAGAATTTATTCGTAAAAAATTTGATCGATAATCTCATTATCACAATTACTTGGAGTAAATCACGTGCGAGAATCTACAAGCAGACTGTTATTTAGAAAATTTTGTTAAATATCCTGGAATGAAAGAGATTATAAATAATTTAAAAATATTCTTGAGAAAACGTAAAATCACGAAAATTTCTTTAAATCAATGGCTAACAACTGACAGGTATTTATATTTATATGTGACTTATTTATTTGTTTCTCATTGTCAGTAATGTTTCCAAAGATCCAAATATTATTTTTCAGGTATCTATTACTTACTAGGACTGAAAGTAATGTTTTTGCCAAAAATTTAGCAGCAAATTTACCAGATGTTTTAAAACACGATTTTATTGCCAAATCGCAGTCTGCTTACTTACAAAAAAATTAACTTGTAGATAACGATTTTGTCGTTAGCCTTAACTTTTTCAAAAATTATTTTTTCCACGTACAAGATGGTATCTAGTCGAAGCATTGGTGCAAGGATTTAACTACGTTACATGTTCACGTAATATGTTATAAAAAAAATGATACTATACATAATATAAAAAAACGTAGTTTTTTCCAAATATGTAAATCACAATGCTGTTGAAGTCTATCTATTCAATTGAAAAACGATAAAATTTTAATGATTGCCATTCGCTGCACAAAACATCAAAAAAATTTATTATTTTTTGGATGGTGCGGGATTGCCGTACAAAAATTGATTTAATTTGGTAAATTTATTGTATCATGGAAAAGTTTTAATGTTGAAGCTAAGTGGCACTTTTTTGCAACTGCACACAGTAAGGGTGCTCGTGAAGGTATTGGTGGATGATAAGTGGGTATCGTGTCAGCTAACGGAATAAAATGATTTTAACAACGAAAAGCTATTTAAATGGTATTCGTTTTAATGAAGTATAATGGAAGTTAATATTTTTAAATAAGTTTAACTTCCATCATACTTCATGAAACGAATATGAGAAACATAAGAAATAATTAGAATCCCGTTTTTCTTCACCTGAAACTAAAAGGGGAACTCAAAAATACCACAGCTTCTAACAGTTTGACATGAAAAATGTAGAACGCAAGATTATTTATAACGATACAATAAGTATTGTACTAAACGTTCATAAATAGTTTAACTGAATAATATGTTGATAGAAAATTATGTAAGTTAATATATATCTGATATTTATTGCACGAACGTAAATGTAAGAAATTACAAGTTATAGTTGATCGCTGTAGATTGCATTCCTTTAACGTTATAGAAATAAAATTTAAAAAAAGTATTATTCGACCTAGTCCAGAAATAAGATAAATTTTAAATTGCTTATTAAAAATTCATTTTTTATAATTAAATAAAAAATTTTCTATTACACAAATACACTATATGATTTTTCAACAATCCTTGCATTAACTTTTGATAGTTGGTCAAGTTTTTAATTCATATTTTTTATGACAAATACAATGCCGTTTGTTNATTAAAATTAAAAAAAAGTATTTTAGGGCATTAATTCTAACCAACAAACCTTCAATAATCCCAAAAAAAATGTAAAATTCAACATATTGATTATTAGTGGCCCGCTTCAGAAATGTTGACTCAAATAAAAAGTAATGTTAGTGAATATATATTATATTTGGTGCACGATTTTTAATGTAACAAATTATAGATAATAGTAGACTGCAGTAGATTGCATTAGTTTAACGTTATAGGAAAAAATAAAAAAAAATTACTATTCTACCTAGTCCAGGAATTAGTTGAATTTGAAACTGTTCATTAAAAATTAATTTTTTATAAATAAATGAGAATTTTTCTATTATAGTAATACACTATCTAATTTTTTAACAATTCTTGCACTTACTTTTGATAGTTGGTAAAGTTTCATGATAAATTTGTTGAATAATCGTTATTTGAAAAAAAGCCTCAAAAAGAATTTTTGCAAAAATTAAAATTGAAAAATAACATTATAGGGCATTCAGTTTGACCAATAAGCCTTCAATAATCACCAAAAAAGATAAGAAATTCAACATGTTGATTATTAGTGGCCCACTTCAGAAAGTTTGACTCAAGTAACTTGTTATTCCTTGGCAATCAATGCAATTAAATTTTAAATAAAATATATTTTCATTATAGCTTTCGGATATGTGTGTATGGAAGCGTGTGAGTGTGCGTGTGGGTGGTTGTGTATGTGTGTGTATGAAATATTTAATATACATAGACATACTTTACCTCTATATGTACATAAAGTACGTGTATTTATATTAAATCATGTCTTTATATTGAGCTATGTTTTTTCTTTATATGTATTCAAGAGTTAAGCACAGAGCCAGTACGGCGCACAAATACATTAAGTCTCAGAGAAGACAAATGTATTATATTCATAACAACTTGAAATAAATAAATTCTTACACATTAATAGCAAAGCTTATATTTCATCGGCGAACACTGGACAAAAGGAAAAGTGACCCATGCTAAATAACTATAGTAGGGCCTCAGTTCTGCATTACCCCATAGGTAAAATATAACACACAACAGTATTCAATAACCGTTGAAGCTTAATGTTACGGTATGCTGACATGTCAGCAAATACAAGGTAACATTCATCAAAATGAGGCACCTCAGAACAGGCCAACATTTCACTAAACCTTGCTGAAAGTGACTTTGGCGACATAAACGATAAATCATCTCGTTAACCTGAGAGAATATGCATGATACGTAATGATTCTAGGACAGATCCTTCCTTAAGGTGACACCTAAGAGGAGAGAGAGGGAGAGAGAGATCAACCTTATGGCCAAAAGGTCCCTCCAGCATAGTCTTCCAGATATCAGGATGATGATGGGTTCCATGAGAGGCGTAAGCCAGGTAGCGTACTAATAATAAAAGTGGATGCGTACACCATCATCTGTGACTTAATAATGTGTATATATACACGGCTTGGGCTTCGTTAGAACGACTACAAAGAAAGTAAGCGTGGTTACCAAGAAAAAAAAATCAAAAGTAAGTTTTTGTGCGCCAGTCAGGCTTACCTTAAGTCGTGGGGAAATCTCGTGAGGGATACAAATATATGGAGGCTGCGTTAACGTATCAAAGCTAGAGCAGTGAAGTGGATAAAGATAAGCAGGTACTGAAGACTAGGTTTCTAGCATAATGCAAAAAAATCTGAAGATATTTAGCAATATGCTGTAGTATAAAAAAGGAAGGTGTACGATCGTGTGCTGAATTCGCTGATTGCGAGTAACAATGATTGGCAAGTCGCAGTGGAAGCCATATTCGTCTAGTTAAATATGCGAGTAATACCAAGAATGCAAAAAAGCTTCGATAGCTGAGTGGTAAACGTGTTAGTTTCCTATCCGGGGGAACTCAAGGGATTATGGGTTATGTCCCGTCAAAAATCATCGAGATTTTTTTTTTTTTTTTTTCGGACTTTTTTGATGGAACGAATAATCAGGATACCGAAACGCCACTTATCCAAATTTTAAAAACGAATAGTAATTTTTTTTTGGTAATGTTTGGATCTCCAGGAGCTTCTTTTTCGAAGAAAAAACCAAGACCTGGCTTACTCATCAGGTAGAGCAAATATTGATTTTACAAAGGGGTTGGTACAGTGAATGAGATGGTTTATTGGAAAACATTCTTCGATTGCACTTGATAATAGCTGGGATGTGTTTTAGACAATCGCTGCTCGCTGTAAATAGTACCCAGTAGGATGGATGACCGAGTCGTCTAAGGGGAACTTGACAAGGGGCCCGCATAAAATACTCGCATACTTAAAGAAAAAGGAGAGTAATTATGAAAAAAAGGAAGGTAAAGATTAGGACAACATAGAATAAACATAGGGTATGTAAGAATCCAGCATGCGTACACGTAGAATCATAATACTACTATTACTACCAACAGTGCAAAAGCCTGAAGTGAGGAAAGATTAATGCCAGTAGACTGATGATATTATTCTGTTCAACCACCTGCAGTACTGCTTTGTAGAGCAAAAAGCATACAAACATCTCGGGGCAAAACTTAGCCAGCACATTGAGAAAAATATTTTACAGATAGTGGTCATAGGCAACATGAAAATTTTAGATCCAGTGGGTGTGCAATGTAAAAATATTCAGTTTTCATCATTTAAACTTTTTTTTTTTGTTTTTTAATTAAATTACTAGGTCACACTTTTGAAATAAATTTTTCATTTAGTACTATAATCTTGAGAATGAATAAGAAAGATTGTATTGTAAACATTGTTACATTGGTGTTTTAGGTTTTGTGATCATCTTTACAAAAACTTATTAAAAATCCATGTTGGCCAAAGTGATTTAATTTCAAGCATGATTCTTAAGGTATTGCATCTTTTTTCTACGTGTACAAACCACAATTTACGTGAAAACAGCACTATGGCTTTTTTTAAACGTATATCCATAATGTCATTAAATTTACAACACAATAGTATTCTTGGAATTTTTAGTATCATCCAGATAATCATGCGAAAATCAAAAATATCCACAAATTTGTTTGATACTGAGAGCAATGTTGGGGATGAATCAACTTTACCAGAATCGGACAGTCTTAACTACTGCAATGCGATTAGTACAAGCTTGTTTGAGGTAGTAGCATGGCAGGTAATAAAGGTTTATTTTAAATTTGCAAGTATAGATTTTATGCAACGTTAGTTTTATAAATATTAAGATCCGTCTTATTTATTCTAGAAACATTATCATGAGATTGTAAAAATGACTTCAAAAAATATAGGATGGGATCGTCTTCGTATCAATGAATTCCATTTGGCGACTGAAGTTTTAAATTTGTAAGTATAAATAATTCCTTGAACAAGTAATGGCTTTCTTGTTAGCATTACTCTGTATTGAATAATATATTTCAAAACAACTTATACTAACATATTATCGATATAATCTTTGGAATTTTCGTGTTTCCGTTTTTATTCGTAACTAAGCTAGTGGTTAAAGTAAAAGAAAGATGCTTGGCTTTGCCTCTACAGTATTCTGCATGCTACCCGCCTTTTTTGAGGTTATTTAGCTTTATGTTTGTGATTGCAAGAAAATATATTTAATCCTAGTTTTTTGCAACTTTATCTAAATCACTCATACTAATTGGCTCATTTATAAGATGACTAAAAATAGACTAAGCTTACAACAAATCATTACCTTGTAACGTTGTACCTGGCCAGCTTAACCCACGCACACAACTACCCAGAGTACAACGCTACGGGTACAGCTGTGTGGCTTCAGCGTCTTTGATGCGACCCTCGTACCCCGGCATCACAACTCAAAGTGCTCCGCACAGCACTTAGCATTTTTCTTTACCCTGATAAAATAACTGCCAGTGACTCCCGCAAAGAGTCACTACGATTTCCCCCAAGGAGCCACTATAAATGCCCCCAAGAAACCACTATTCGTGAACCCCGTAGCCACTAACCACGAACCCGCAGCCACTGCCCGTTTTGCTTGAGAAGGGTACGAAGTGCGCCTCGTGATCCGAGTTTCCGCTAGCCACACGTAGCGTATAGCCACTAACATCCGGCCCCAAAAAGCCACTACCCCGGAGTGAGGAACACGGAAACGCGTCGTCTTTACTATCTCGCGTACCTTGCGCATACTACAGCCACTGCACATAAACAGACAAAACGTACTCACTGGCTTTCTCTTGACCTTCGATATCAAAGGAGTCCTTAAGTCCTACATGTCGGCACCAGCTTCCATCTCCTCTCCAACTCACGCTGCCTCTTGATCTCACCCAGCCAGCCAAGACCCTGAAGCTTTCTTCCCGGTCACAAGGCCCTTAGAAGAAAACCCAGACAAATCATGAGCCACACAGCAAGCTTCCAATTTTGCTTCGAATCTCTCTTGTTGTGAAACCACAATAAACTAACGTAACGGGGAATAGCGAAAAACCGAACTGCCCTTTCTAGCTACTTTTCCTTGCTCGATACCTCGGAAAAGTACCTGCCAACAATCCTCGATCGATCGCCTACCGTTGATCAACGATGGCTGATTGGCTATTTATGCACCAGTGCCCTTTATTTATTTAATCATCCCTTCACTCTTATTGGTATAATAGTTTGACTGACAAATCGTACCGGTTCCTCCACCGGTTTGGCCCTCACGTTTCAGACCGTTCCACTCCCTTAAGAGTGGCGGCGCTGTCACGAGCAACATACCCGCCACCGAGCAACAAGCCACACCTCCTATGCCTGAGTCACATCAGCACCGCTCAATGAGCGCTTGTGCACGCCTTTTGGCCTGAGAGGCATTATCAGATCACGCCGAGTTCACACACACGCACGAACACATAAATCTCAGTGATTTACTACAGCCAGGCACCTGCATACATATGCTCGACGCTGCGACTTCGTTACAACCTCAACATGATCCACGCATACCCCTATGATTGCTGTTAACATTTAAAATACTGAAGAAACCCCCCCCCCCCCCATTAATGTTAGTAAATATCAGTGCATCGGCTTCCCAGGTGTTAATATTATTTTCGTACTTCTAATTACAACTCAGTGCTTGAGATGTGCAATGACGGAGTTTGCTGAATCGAGCTTATAGCGACCATCAGCAGCAGCGTGACCTTCACTACTGATAACTGGCCTGAGCACTGCTTTGTGATTGTTGTAAATCGAACTTTTAGGTGATTAAGATGGAATCGTATCACATTGTAAAGGAAATCTCGAAAATCAAAAGTGTTTTTGAAAATTCTCTTCAAGTTGTCCTAAAATTTTTTTAAAGAGCCTTTTTTTAAAGTTTTTTTAACATTTTGCTAAAAGCTAACGGCATATCGTGCTAAAATATTTAAGGCTCACTGGAGGCCATAAAACCCAAATTCTAGCTCAATTAAAGATCTAAATATTAATTAGAAAGCGAGCTATAAATTTTTTTAAAAATGGTAAAAAATGCAGTTCTTTTTTTAATTTGCGAAAAAACTGTTTAATCAGTTGAGACTCTACAACTCTTATTTCTTCACTGCACATATTTTGTACTTTCACACTATATCTGTACAATTTGAAGGTTTCTTATAAAATACAATAAACCGTTTTTGACAGTTTTTTTTTTTTTTTCAACAATGTTTCCTTATACAGAGCTGCGTTAAAATAAAATATGTTAGTCAAAATGTTTTTAACTAACAATGAAAAAAAAGTTAAAGTAACCAATGACATTCATGGATTTGCTAATACTATCAATCTGTAGGACTTGTTTACAAGGCTGCAGTTAGGGAAAAAAAGGTGTTTTAAACTTGTTAGTATAATGTGAAGATCAAATGTATATCAAATAATATACAGATAAAAAAAGTATATTTTGATTTTTACCAACACGTAATACTATACATATTTATTCATTTGAAAATCCAACTATCCAGATACATAAAAAATATTTCCACTATCTCGTGTTGCTCACTTGAATTTGGATTGCACTAAACTTAATAATTATATTTTCAGTAACTATTTTAATATGCTAAATCCTAATCAATTCATATTTTGGTTTCCCTTCTCACTTACATATTGACTTAGCGTAAAACATGCTGTGTTAACGGTTATTATCTAAAGTCATAGTAATTTGATTTTCCTAATAAACAATTAATGACCTGTTCCTTCACTATAATAATCCTACTTTCTTTTTAACAACTCAACAATAAACACCCTTCTTGGTTTATCCATTGTAAGATTTTCATTATTAAATCGTGTGAACTTTCAAGATTCTTCTTTACGACTGGATTTGTTTTAGAGTACGTTCTTAACTGTTTTTGTACAGTGTTGTATGTGGGTCTCCTAGTATTCAGCTCGTGAGCTTGATTTGTTCTTTGCAATAAGTTGGAAATTTTTAATTCAAATGATGTGGGTAAAGTTCATTCATTATATTCTTTTATTAAATTTAATTAAATTAATTTATTTTTTTGATCACAGTTTATTAGTTTTGTATTAATTATATAACTGATAGCTAACTTACATCTATCACTGATGGTTGAATTCGTGGTTGGAAAAGAAGTTGTTGCAGCTTTTGTTCTCTCTGCTGTCACCGAAGCCACTTCTGGTGGATCTTCTCCGCTGTACCTCTCTTTTTAGCGTAGTCCAAAACGAGTGATGTCCTTAGAATACATCCGGCTTGCTTTGGCCAATACATTGTCCGTTACGTGTTTAATGTACTTGCGAAACGCAGGAATCAGAAACTGACTAAAACTTGAAAGGACTGGTGACAGACATAAAAAAATCCATTTTTTTCTGAATTAAGCGTTTGTATGGCATTGGACAGAGTAAAAAAGGCCTCTAGTTGAATAAGTTCAACTAATGAGCGATATTCTTGGGAAACTGCGTTCACTACAAAACAGTAGGTTGGTACGATGATGGTTTGTGTTATAATTTCATGTATTAGGAAGAGACATAACATTAGTTTTAATGATATTTTTCTGACAAATGCAATTAGGATTTTGGATCATTATAATGCATTTTTGCATCAGCAATAAAAAAAAATGCCTAATACAAGCTTAAATGTTACTTATAAGTAAACAAATTTTGCACTTAACTTTTTCGTAAATTTTACAATCGATTTTTAATATGATGGAACAATTTGTCAATTACAATTTTAAAAGTTGTATACACGATAAGAATTTAACAATCAAATAAACTATTCATTCATACATAAAACACAATCTATGCATACATTCATACGTATAACAAACAATTCCAATACAAACATGCATTCTGACAAGAAGGCTGACCACATTGTAAGTCAGCATAAAATGACGGAACCTTAAACTTCCCGTGAACACGATGTACTTACGTATACAATTGATATGTATACGAGTCACTTGATGCATCAGCACGTGCACGTAAAAGACGCACCTCAAAGCGTAATACACACACGCACAAATGTACACACACATTTCTACATTAAATATTGGTAGGGCTGTCCACACATCTCCCCCACACTCCCATGGTCGCTCCACAGCCTTCCTTCAATGCTCCCATAATCCAAGGTAAAATTCTTTTCATTTCTCAGTGAATTCAACCCAACAAAATTTGTGTGAATCCTCACACCCCCCGCTCCCTCCCTACATCCCCTCGCATGAATTTAGTGGCCCCCGCAAGCCCCCCACTACCCCCTACAGAAGCTTAAAATATTTTGAGAAAATGTTATAATAATCCTGTTTCAATGAAAATATGTTGAAGAAGAGTGCATGTGGGGTAATTTGCCCATCCTACAGCCCCCCACATCTTTTCACAAAAATTTAAGATGTATTAATTGTAAGCATTCTTTATCATAGAGTAATTATGGAATACTCTTCACACATTCCACTACACCCTCTATGGTCCCTCCACAGCTCCCCACAGCCCTCCTCAACCCTCTACGAGACAAGGGAAAATTCCTTTTATTTCTTTGTAAATATAACCCAAAGAAATTTGTGTGAATCGTTCCACGCCTCCCACTACCCTCACAGCCACCCCACGGGAATTCAGTGGCCCCACAACCCCTCCACTATCTTTCCTTAGAAACTTGAATTACTTTGTGAAAATGTTATAACAATCCTGTTTTGATAAAAATATGTTAAAGATGAGTACATACGGGGTAATTTTTCTACTCTACAGTCCTCCCCCACATCTTTCCCTAAAAACTTGGAATGTATTGTAAGGATACGCTATCGTAGGGTTATTATGAAATACTTATCCCCACAGCCCCTCCACATCTCCTAAGTAAACTTATAATTTTTTGTGAGATTACTTTATGATAGGGACGAGATGGACTCATCCCTTTCCCCCTTCATCCGAAAATAAGAATTTTTCTTGGATAC